GTCGACGCCGACACGGGGCCAGCAGCAACTACTGCGGCTGCTGCTACGGCTGCTGCTGCGGCTGGGCAAGGGATGGAGCCGCTTTGGCTGGTGCTGCTGCTGCTGCTGCTGCTGCTGCTGCTGCTGCTGGCGCTGCAGCTCGTGTTGCTGCAACTGTTGCTGTCCCGAAGAATTCTGCTTCTCTGATTGAGTCGTCAATCCTGCGGGTGCGTGTCTGCTGTGGTCATTGCTCCTGTTGCTGCTGCTGCTGCTGCTTTCTCTGTTGCTGCTGCTGCTGCTGCTGCTGCTGCTGCTGCTGTTCGCCGGCGTCAAGCTTCGCAAGGCAAATGCGTAATGCGAGCCTAACAAAGAAAAATGAGCTGCAACAACAAAGCAAAGCCTTTTTTGCTGCAGTAGAAGGCGACGGAGCAGCAGCAGCAGCAGCAGCAGCAGCAGCAGCAGCAGCAACAACGGCCCGTTGCGTCGATGCTGCCAACAGCAGCAGAGCGGGATAAACCCTCAGGCAGTTGCTGCTCTTCCAGAATATTATTAGTAAACCCTAAATATAAATATAAATATAAATTTGAATTTAAAATTAAATTTAAATTAAAATAAAAAGCAAAAGAGGTTCAGAAGGGGCGGAAGATCTCGAGGCGCCTCATGACCGCCCGCGGCCGACTCGTCCGCGCCCGCCAAACCCTAAACCCCAAACCCCAAACCCTAAACCCTAAACCCTAAACCCTAAACCCTAAAATAAAGCTGCTTCTGATGCACTGAAGCTCGCGTCTGGGGGCGTGTGAGGCTTGAGGTGTACACACAGCTCCCGTGTCGGCACTGCGCTGTCGGCTGAGCTGCCTGTACACCTCAGCAGCTGCAGCGCCTGCACATCAAAAGTGTACATACACTTCAAATTATTTCATCTTTCTGTCTTTTCAAGTGTATGTACACTTGAAGAAACAAAGAGCGAGGAGGAAACAGCCAAACACAGATCCGAGCCCCCCAGGAGGTCCGTTGCTCGCCAGCTGCTGCTGCTGCTGCTGCTGCTGTTGCTGCTGCTGCCGTTGCTGCTGCTGCAGCTTACTTTCTCAGTCCCTGTGGGGCCCAATACGTGGCTGTGCAGTAGCACTGGGCGAGCTGCGGTGTACGTACACCCCAGAGTTTGCTGCAGCGTCGCTCCCGCTCGCTGCGCAGCTGGGGTGTACGTACAGCCCAGCAGAGCCGCCTGTACACCGCAGCTCAGGTGTACGTACACCCCGCGACTTGCAGCGCAGCAGGGTCTCTTTTGCTGCTGCAGCAGCTGCAGCAGCTGCAGCTGCTGCAGCAGCTGCAGCTGCTGCAGATTTGAAATCTGTTCTACAAAGTCTCTAGAGTTTTGCTGCGGTGTACAGACACTGGAGAGAGTGGGGCTTCGCAACTGAGGTGTACGTACACCGCAGAGCGCGGGGTGTCTGTACACCTCAAGTGCGGAACACTGAGAAACACTGTAGCTGCTTTCTCTGTTTGTCAAGCCTCTCTGTCGAGAGCCACCCCACCCTAAACCCTAAACCCTAAACCCTGAATTGGCGGTTTAGAGCTCCTCGTGGGGCCTTCCGTCTGCCTGAGCCGCCCCCAACAAGGGCAGGCCCCAACGCTAAACCCCAAACCCTAAACCCTAAATTAGCGGTTCAGAGCTCGTTGTGGGGCCCTCCGTGCGCCTCTGCTGCCCGCACGCGGCAAGCCCCAACCCCAAACCCTAAACCCTAAATCAGCGTTTAAAGCTCGTCGTGGGACCCCGCCTCCGCCTCTGCTGCCCGCCCGCGGCAAGCCCCAACCCCAAACCCTAAACCCTAAACCCTAAATCAGGGTTTAAAGCTCGTCGTGGGACCCCGCCTCCGCCTCTGCTGCTCCCAACAATGGCTCTCCTCTCAGCTTCTCAGGCAAAGGCGCTCCTCCTATAACTCTGTCTACGAACTCCTCCAGTCCTTGCTTCGTCACGGGAGGCTCCAGCCGCTGCAGCAGCAGCAGCAGCAGCAGCAGCAGCAGCGGCAGCAGCAGCAGCAGCAGCAGCAGCAGCGGCAGCAGCAGCGTGCAGGAAAAGCCGTGCATACAGGAAAGGGAGCCACTGGGCCTTGGCCCCCAGCTGCAGCGCCCGAGGCCGCATGCAGCAGCAAACTCCAAAATGCATGCGCTGCAAAACTAAACCCTAAACCCTAAACCCTAAACCCTAGATCCTAAACCCTAAACCCTAGGCCGGCGGCCCGGACGTGCAGCTTCGTGCAAACCCTGAGACCCAGGAACCAAACACTAATCCCTGGCCTCTAACCCCCAAACCCTAAACCCTAAACCCTAAACCCTAAACCCTAAACCCACCAGGTAGCGCCGCCTCTTGGGCCTGTAGGCAATGACCATTTCTTCTTTGCTGCTGGGGGAGAAGCCGAAAGCAGCAGCAAATACCGGCTGCAGCAGAAGCACATAAACCCCAGTGAGCAGCAGCAGCAGCAACACATAAACCCCAGTGAGCAGCAGCAGCAGCAGCACAAAACCCCAGCGAGCAGCAGCAGCAGCACAAAAACCCCAGAGAGCAGCAGCAGCACATAAACCCCAGGGAACAGCAGCAGCGCATGCAGGCAGCGGAAGCCCCAGCTTTCTGCGCGCCGCCGCAGGGCGGCCCCCCGAGGGTTTAGGGTTTAGGGTTTAGGGTTTAGGGTTTGCCCACGTTCTTGTCCGCAGCAACATACACCAACTTCACAGGGTCTGTCTTATACTTTCCAGCCAACTCCTTCAAAGAGCTGTAGACTTCGCGGGCGGAGCCCCAGGCAGCAGTTTTGGAGGGCAGCAGCAGCAGCACGCAAATCTGCAGCAGCGCAGCAGCAGCAGCGCAGCAGCAGCAACAGTGCAGCAGCAGCAGCAGTGCAGCAGCGCAGCAGAGCGGCCACCCAGTCTGCCGCTACAGAACCGAGTGCGGCTGAGAGCCTCAAAAAAGCCACGCACGCACGCGACGCCCATGCATGCATGCATGCATGCATGCACGCACGCATGCATGCGCGTTGCATGCATGCATGCATGCATGCATGCATGCATGCATGCATGCATGCATGCATGCATGCATGCATGCATGCATGCAGCGGGGCCCTGGGGTTACCTGGGAGTCCTGCGGGGTGCATTCGCCGGCGCGCATGCGCCTGGGGGTCAACGGGTGGAGAGTTTTTGGGCGAGGCAGTCGGGCCTGAACGGCGCAGCAGTGGGGTGTACGTACACCCCAAGTTTTGGCCGGCGGTGTACGCGCAGGTTGGCGCGGCTGGCGGCGGCCGATCTGCGGGAATTTTGCGGGGATTGGCGGAATAAATGGAATAAATTGAATAAATTAATTAAATTAAATTAAATTAAATTAAATTAAATCAATTAAATGCCTTTTTTGCGCAAGATCGCACCTGGTTGGCCACGGAAGCCAACGTGGAGATGAACTTGTCCGGAGCCATGCCCCGCACCTTCCGCCACTCGCCCTGCAAAGTGTCCAAGTCCGAAACCACCAGCAAACTGGGGACTTCGAGATAAGTCACTGCATGCAAGTTGTTGAACTTTGTTGGATCTTTGAAGTAATCCAAAATTAAATCCTTTTCGGAGGGAAATATTATTCCAATGTCCAGCTGGCTCTTGAAAAAGAAAGCCCCCAAGTACCACTCCGGCGGCGCCGGCCGCTTCCGCGCAAACAGCACCACCTGCAGCAAACCCTAAACCCTAAACCCTAAACCCTAAACCCTAAACCCTAGGCCCCAGCCCTTGAGCTTGGGCGTTAACACGCACACGCACGGACACCCGTCGCCGCCAAGGGTTCAACTACACCCCCCGCTAAACCCTACAGCCCATGCCGGGCAGTCTGCACTCCAAACCCTAAACCCTAACAAACCCTAAACCCTAAACCCTAAACCCTAAACCCTCGCACCTTCGTTTTCTGGGGGTTGCGCGTCAGCCAGTCCTCCATGTTTTCGTGGGTGAGTGTCGTTTGGTGCTTCGCAACTTTGTCGCTGATGAAGGCCAGGATGTCCTCGAACTTACTGAGCGCCAAACCCTAAACCCTAAACCCTAAACCCTAAACCCTAAACCCTAAACACCGAGTTGCTGCATCTGCGTCGCGTTTGCACCAGAGCTGCGTAGCGCGCAGCTGCAGCTCGAGGGCCCCGGGCCGCGCCGCGGGCCCGCTGCGAGGCAGTCGAGGGTTTAGGGTTTAGGGTTTAGGGTTTAGGGTTTGGCGGACCTTTTGCCTTTGTAGAGGATTGGCTCCGCCGTTTTGTCTTCGCTAAAAAAAAAGACCGAAGGATATCTTTTGCCTTTGCGGCAGAGCGGCAGCTGCCGGTGGCTGCGGCAGTTGATCGCCGCGAACTGCTCGCAAACCCTAAACCCTAAACCCTAAACCCTAAACCCTAAACCCTAAACCCTACGCCCCAAGCCCCAAACCCTAAACCCTAAACCCGCCACCGGGCGCGTGGCGCGCCGCGCCCCCAGCCAGCAGCACCCCTGCGGCGCGCGCGCAGCCCTCCCCAAACCCCAAACCCCAAACCCTAAACCCTAAACCCTAAACCCTAAACCCTCACCGGGACGACGTTGTGGAGGCGCTGCGCCGCAGTGGCGTACTCCATCTTGAAAACCCTGCAGGGCTCGCAGTGGGGATTATAAATTTCGACGAGCAGCAAATGATCTCTTTCGGAAATTTGCTGCTGATAATTATTAGGGTTTAGTTCTTGGACAAACTCGATGTCTTGGTAGAGGTCTGCGTCCCAGTCGGGTTCTTGCTGCTGCTGCTGCTGCTGCTGCTGCTGCTGCTGCTGCTGCTTCCCAAACCCAAACCCAAACCCTTTCAGGTACTCCGGCATTTCCCCGCTAAACTCAAACTTCATCTTCGGGGCCCCCTGGCCCCGGGGGCCCCCCCCGAAGCCCCCCGCAGCCCCGGAAAACAGGTTCCTGCGCCAAACCCTAAACCCTAAACCCTAAACCCTAAACCCTAAACCCTAAACCCGAAACCCTAAACCCTCTGGCTCCGCCGCGGCAACGCCACGCCGGGCAAAGCCCCCGCTCAAAACTCGCCCTGGAGGCCGCAGGCTCTCTGGCCCGGCGCTAGGGTTTAGCGCCTAGGTTTAGGGTTTAGGGTTTAGGGTTTAGGGTTTAGGGTTTCTTACACAAACTCGCTGAAGGGGAAACCCCCGTCGCCAGCCCCGGCCCCCGGAAAACCCGCGAGACCCTCTTCGCCGAAGGTGTCATATTTCTTGCGTTGCTCAGGGTCACTCAGCACCTGCGCCAAACCCTAAACCCTAAACCCTAAACCCTAAACCCTAAACCCTAAACCCTAAACCCTGCCCTGCCCCGCAGTGGCACAGACACTCGAGTTCGCGCCACGCAAACCCTGGACCCCAAACCCTAAACCCTCAACCCTACACATTAGACCCTGAACCCTACATCCAGCGCTTTGAGCCTTAACCCTAAACCCTAAACCCTAAACCCTAAACCCTAAACCCTCAACCCACTTCGTGAGCCTTGGCAATCTCCATAAACTCCTTTTCCTTTCCTGGGGCCACATCGGGGTGGAGCTTCTTGGCAAGCTTGCGATACGCCTGCAGCCACACACCCTAAACCCTAAACCCTAAACCCTAAACCCTAAACCCTAAACCCTAAACCCTAACTCCTGAGTCCTAGACGGCTCATTGAAAACCCTGAAGACCTCCGCCACCTGCGCCACTTTAGGAGGCGCCTGGAGAGCCCAGAAGAAGAAATGAATCCACCGAACTAGGGTTTAGGGTTTAGGGTTTAGGGTTTAGGGTTTAAGGTCCGTGCCTTGTCAATTGCGCGCTGGCTTGCATTTCTTCTCACACCAAGCAGCTGGTAGTAATCCTTAGACTTCCGAGCTGCAGCAGCAGCAGCAGCAGCAGCAGCATTGTGCATCAGCTGCCGGAGAGGACGCAGCAGCAGCAACAGTGGCAAGGATCGCAGCAGCAGCAGCAGCAGCAGCAACAGCAACAGCAGCACCAGCAGGTGCAGCAGCACGGCAGCCACCACCTTGAGGGATTGCAGAGGCAGCAGCAACAGCAAATCCAGCAGCAGCAGCAGCAGCGCCTACAGCAGCTGCAGCTGCTGCAGTGCAGCAGCAGCAGCAGCAGCAGCAGCAGCAGCAGCAGCATACCTGCTTCTGCACCGATGATGCCCCCAAAGCTCGACCAGAAGCCTCCAGAAGAATGGGGGGCCCCAAAAGGCGCGCCTGAGTTTGTGCTGCTTTTGCTGCTGGGGTTGGGGGGCCCCAGCAGCAGCAGCAGCAGCAGCAGCAGCAGCACAGCTGGCTGCAGCGCCAGAGCCTTCAGCAGCAGCCGGCGAGGCTGCGGGCACTTGGGCGAATCATGCATTGGGAGGCATCAAATGGAAAAGCCTCACGCTGCTGCTGCTGCTGTAGTTGCTGCTGCTGCTGCAGTCGCTGCTGCAGTTGCTGCTGCAGTTGCTGCTGCAGTTGCTGCTGCTGCCGCTGCTGCTGCAGCTGCCGCGGCTGAGGGTGCGCTTGCTGCAGCTGCTGCCGCTGCCGCTGCTGCTGCTGCTTCCACTGTTTCTGCTGCCGCGTCTCGACTCGGTGCTGCTGCTGTTGCTGCTGAACTGCGTTGAGCTGCTGCAGCAGCAGCAGCAGCAGCGCAGCAGTGCCGGGGGTCCCCTGGGGATCAGCGGAGGACGGCCTCCTGTGGAGCGGCTGTTTGCTGCGAGGGTTTAGGGTTTAGGGTTTAGGGTTTAGGGGTGGGGATCGATCCCTAGGGCGGGGACAGAAGAGGCACCGCAGCCGCCGCGTTCTCGCCTCAGCTGCTGCTGCTGCTGCTGTTGCTGCTGCTGCTGCTGCTGCTGTTGAGAGTCAAACGACAAGTGACCAAAAGGAAAAGCAAGCGTCAGAATGCGCAAAAACGAAGGGCGGGAGCTGCTGCTGCTGCTGCTGCGGCGGAGGCTGTCCTCTACGCCGTTGCTGCTGCTGCTGCTGCTGCTGCTGCAGGAGCAGGGCCCTGCTGGCTCTCTCTTGCTGAGGGTTTAAGGATTCGAATTTTCAGTCATTTACAAAATAAACAAGAAATAATGCTTCCGAAAAGACGGCAGCAGCAGCGAAATCCCAAGACAGAGCCTTCCTGCAGCAGCAGCAGCAGCAGCAGCAGCAGCAGCGTCGCTTCTTCACAGCTGTGCATACACTGCTGCAGCAGCCTCGGGAGAAGGCGCTGCTCCAAGCCCGAGGCTCTGAGGGCCTCACACACTTAAAAACTTTAAATTAATTTAAATAACATTTAATTGCATCGAATTAGTTTATTTGTTTTCCCGTTCTTCCTGCTGCGGCCCACCTGCTGCTGCCTGCAGCAGCAGAAGGCACAGGGGGGCCCCCAAGGACCCTCCGAAGCCCCGCGGGCCTCTGGGGGCCCCTCGTGTCTCAGCGGCCTTTGCTGCTGCTGCTTCCCAGCAGATGTGGAAGCAGCGACTCAATACCTGCTTCTTGCTGCCGCCAAGCAGCAGCAGCAGCAGCAGCAGCGGAAGCAGCGGCAGCAGCAGCTGCTGCGGACCCCCGCTGCTGCCGCCGCTGCAGCAGCAGCGGGGCACTTCAGGCCGAGCAACCTGCAGCAGCCGCACCAGCAGCAATGGAAGCAGCAGCAGCAGCAGCAGCAGCAGCAGCAGCAGGTGTGGGGCCCTGCTGCTGGCGCTGCCAGCTCCGCAGGCGCGGCTGCAAAGACCTTCGCCTTTACCAACTCTTCCAGGGGGCCCCCCAGCCCCACAAGTGCCCCGAGGGGGCCCCCCCTGGTGTCCCGGGGGGCCCCCTGGGGGCCCCCGGGGGCCCCCCGGGGGCCCCCGGGGGGCCCCAGGGGGCCCCCGGGGGGCCCCCCGCCACCTATGAGCTGCCGCTGTGCGGCTGCTGCTGGGGGGCCCCCCAGGAGGCAGCAGCAGCTGCTGCAGCGCAGCAGAGTGCTTCTCAAGGAGCAGCAGCAGCTGCTGCAGCGCAGCAGAATTCTTCTCAAGAAGCAGCAGCAGGAAGCTGCTGCGCACAGTGCAGGGGCCTCTGCTGGCTTGACGCTGGGGGGCCCCTGGGGGCCCCCCTGTGTCTGCTGCAGCTGCTGCAGGGGCCCCCCGGGGGGCCCCCGAAGCAGCTGCCGCTGCATGCAGCAGCAGCAGCGCGGCTGCTGCTGCTGGCTGCCCTTAGGGAAGCTGCTCCGGAGGCGTTGCTGCAGCAGTCAACTCACCCTGCTGCGGAGCTGGCAGCAGCAGCAGCAGCTGCTGCTGCTGCTGCTGCTGCTGACAAGAAGCTGTCTTTTGGTCTTGCTGCTGCGTGGAGGGCCCTTAGCCGCCCCTTTTTCCAGCAGCTTGTAGATGTGGAGATCTCCTCGTGTCTTGCTGCTGCTGCTGCTGCTGCTAGCGCTACTGCTGCTGCTGCTAGCGCAACTGCTGCTGCTGCTAGCCCCGCTGCTGCTGCTGCTGCTGCTGCAGAGGAAGTACCGCTGCAAGAGTTCGTGAAGCTGCAGCTGCTGCTTGCTCTTTTGCGCTGTGGCGTTGCCCGCCGGCCCACGCCGCAGCAGCAGCAGCAGCAGCAGCAGCCAGCAGCAGCAGCAGCAGCTGCAGCAGCAGATTGGCCTGACTGGGCAGCAGCAGAGGCCTGCTCTTTCAAGGTGGCAATTTCGTGCAGCGCTCACGTCAACAGGAGCAGCAGCACAGCAGCAGCAGAAGCAGCAGCAGCTGCTGCTGCAAACAATGGCCCAGATAGCCGCGCCGCAGCAGCAGCAGCAGCAGCAGCAGCTGCTGCTGCTGCTGCTGCTGGGCACACTGCAGCGAAGGAAGAGGCCCTGTGCTGCGGGCGCTTAAGGGACCTCCGGATCGTTTTGAAGTCTCTTTTAGTAACAGGCAAGGCTCTGCGCAGTAAAGACCTAGTGTTTAGGGTTTAGGGTTTAGGGTTTAGGGTTTAGGGTTTAGGGTTTGTTGAGGGTGTGGGTCTGCTGAGGGTTTAGGGTTTAGGGTTTAGGGTTTAGGGTTTGCGCACAGGGAGGTACTCAAAGTTCAGTCGTCTGCTAAGCCAGGCGGAGTGGCGCGTGGACGGCCACAGGAAGGCAAGCCATAAACCCTAAACCCCAAACCCTAAACCCTAAACCCTAAACCCTCGCCGCTGCAAACCCTAAACCCCAAACGCTCGTCGCCCTAGGCCTAAAACCCTAAACCCTCGTTGTAAATCTCTGCGC